GACCACAACTAGATTTATTCTGTGTTATTACCTATCATATCAAGTTCCTAACGTTTTGTACGTCGAACCTATTTTAGGACCGACTTAGTACAAATACAAGCCTCCACTGTGAAATCACTCCATAACAGAAAGAATATAAAAAAAGAAAAACATTATTAAGAAACAAGAACAATAAAAGACAAGAATTAAGAAGGCAGTAAATAATAATTGATATTGTCTTAATATTTCTAAAGATCAAAGTTGGCTGAAAAGCAAGAAACCAGAAGAGAGTTCCACAAGCAAGAAGTGCAAGAATAGAACTTCCAAATACATCTCGCCATTTTAACTATAAAATAATGAGACCTTACTGCCAATCTAGTGCTGCATTTAAATTCATAAAGTTTAAGTACCATAGAGGAAAGCTCATCCAAACAATTAAGTATCTATAGAAAAGGCACAGGGAAGCTACATTATAGTAGTGGGAAAGTGACTGAAGCTGAGATGCCAGGTTAGGACCTATTATATTAAATTCTTTGGATTTTATCAAAAATCTCTAAATATATTGCAAGAGCACCAGACCATACGTGATAGCAATATTCAAAGCATGGATATATGATAGACTTATAAATATGTAAAATAAATTCTGGCAAGAAAGATTGCTTAGCACAACAGAGTGAACCAACTTACCTAGCAACAGATTCAATATAATGTTTCCACTTCATGTCAGCAGAAAATTGCATCATACTGATGGAAAGCAGAAAGGGATCACTCAGACGATTAATAGGGAGCAGTTTTGTTTTGGAGGCATTAAAATTAAAAAGACATTCCTTCCTTGCCCCAGTTAACAGCAGATTGTAGGTTATTTTTGAGGTCAGCTACTAATTTAACCTTATCAAACCAATCAGACTTACTATTAAGACAGCAGTAAAAGTTGGGTGTCTTCAGATTGTAATAAGCTTTAAAATATATGATTAGTAAGTATAGTTTTACTTAATATATCCTAAGAATTATCTCATTGAAATTTAAAAGATTGCTTAAAAAGCTTGAGAAATTCATCGAGATAATTTTTAGCAAGTATATTAGTTAAAAGCAGAAATAATTGAAGATTTTAAATCACTGATTTTTTTTTTTTCAAAATCATACCAGTTCTTACCAAAAATCTGTTCTGAATCAAAAAATAAAAAACACAATAAAACTAAGACATTATTCAATTAGAGAAGTTTTTAATTGCTTTTATGAATAATATATAATAAAGACAATATTTTCTTGAAGAAAAAAAAATTTTCAATGAAAAATGATTTTTTTCAAGACTTGTTTTCATTTTTTTACAATTTAAAATTGAATAATTTAGAAAGTTTTGAATCTTTTAAAGTTTTTAAAACAATTTCGATTTGTTTTTATATATGTATATAGATGCAGAATATCTGAAGTATGGATGTACAAACCAATAAATCTATTCTTAAAAGGTTAAGTTTTTTAAGAGCTGTCCCCCTTTATAGGGAAGAAAACAAATCCCTAATGAAATTGCTACACCATACTTAACTATGAACATGGTCATGCCATCAATAAATAATACATCAGAAAAACAAAACCCCATGGTTAGAAAACACTTGTATTCAACATTTTATGCTATAAGTAAGTAATATTGGTTTAAAATCAGATTAACTTAACTTTAAATTTGCTAATTTTCCTCAAATAACATTTCAGAAATATATATTTTATTTTTGCAAGATTTTTAAAATGAAAAATTAAGTTTTGTTTACAAAAGTCTAAAAATTGACTGATGTTATCAATTTTACTGAAAAAAAAAATGCAACTCCATTCCAATCAATATAATTTCTGTCTGAAATACACCAAAGTATTTTGCTTACTGGATATAGTTAATTTAACCCTTTAGCTTTCATTTAAAGCTAAATTGAAAAATTCAGAAAAGCTTTTTCATTTTGAAAAAATCATTTTAACTTTATGTATACCCAATTCATTGAGGTGCTTAGTTTCGGCTGATAGATGAAATAAAATACTATTTAAAAAAATAAATGGGGTATCTACTCAAAGTATACACTAAAAATAACATTTAAAGTAGTATATATATATATATATATATATATATATATATATATATATATATAATGGCCAACCTCTCATTTCTGTTCAATACCCACAGATCTCCTCTGTGGGTATTGACTACAAATATACTGAGCAAACTTTAGGTACAGTTTCTGAGAGAATCTATATAATCTGGTGTGACCAACAATTTGAATGAGGCCAAGCCCTCAGCCATGATTACTTCATGCTAGGACAACCATCAATCCAATTTCACTCCCAAGGCTTGGGTTAATCTGTGATAGGCACCTCCCCAGATTCACATCATCAAGAAGTCACCTTTTTGACTAATTGACCATGGTGGGATTCGTGTTTATTTTGTTTCTCAAAAGGATTTCTGCAGAGTGTCAATAGTTTTATCAATGGAGTTTTATATAGGAAAAGGAGAAATAAAAACAGGTGCTGGATACAATTTTACATTTTTTATTTCTCCTCTCTACCTATATATATATATATATATATATCCTTATTACTTACTGTTTTTTTTTTTCTTTGTATCAGAGATTTAATATCCTAAATGATATCTTTCACCCTGTTCAGAGGTTTCTGGGGCTTTTTTTTTCCATTTTTCCTCAGATGCCAATTTATTTGAAAATTGTGCTATCCAGGTTTTTTCACCCACTGAGTTTAAATAGATTTACATTTTATATATATATATATATATATATATATATATATATAATATGAAGAATGCCGTACTGATTAAAAGAGAAAGCATCTTACTTAGACAGAAAATTCTTCAGAGTGCTGCTATTGAATTTTGTCAAACTATAAATCTGTGTTCTGGATTTTTTCAGCTATCTCCTTTCCTAAAGAATATACCTCTTTCCCAAACCAACATACATGGCTATAAAAATATTAAAAATTAAAAGAAAATGGTTAAATTCAAAATCTTCTATTATTTAAAATATATAAATTAATGTCTCAAATAGATAATAATTGCATTATGAAAAAAAATCAACATAAACAGCATTTACTCACATTTTTTACATCACTTAGCAATCTTCCATACTTTACCTTAACTTTTAGTTAGTCTAATCTATATTTATGAGTGTTCTTAAATTTTAAAATTTTGAAAAACTAACATTTTTACTTCTGTTTATAAATAATTGTTACAAAATCAAATCCTTATATTTGCCTTGATAAAGCTAAGCAGAAGATGAAATGCTCTGGTTAAGAAAAGTTTTCCTTTTAGTATACAGTGGAACCTTGGTTCACGAATTTAATTCATTCCTGAAGGCCAATCGTAACCTGAAATTATTTTTCCAATAGGAATCAATGTAGAGAAAAAAGTCACAGTACAATAAAATTGAAAAAGAAAAGCATGGCACAATACACGAATGTATGCAACACAGCCGTTGACTGAGAAATTATTCCATTCAGCAATGTTGTTCGAGAAATTAAATTTTATTCGATAACTGAGACATATTCGAATTTTCTGTTTGAAAACCGATTTATTCAACAAGTGAGACATCCAAGGTTGCTCTCTCTCTCTCTCTCTCTCTATATATATATATATATATATATATATATGAGACTACATAGATAAAAACATTATTAGTCTAATGAAATTCTTTCAAGGGATAAAATGCATTATGTAAGATTTTTTTTCATTCTGTCATTCAATTACTCACTATTATTCTAGTATATATATTTGTGTGTATATATATATATATATATAGTTAGGTAAATGAGATAACTATTAGTGACCATATACATGTTTGCTAGTGTGCATATGCTGGTAAGCATATAAATAATTACCAAATTTAGCCAAGAGGTGTAGACATAATAGTGCTCAATGTGATTAAACAGAGCTAAGAAATATATGTTAATAAATACACATATACCTACGTTTGATGTGCAATTTGAATTTTGTTGGTTACCCAATTCATCAGGCACAAGATATTACTTATTGTTTATTTTAAAAAGTATACAGATGCTCATGTGTATACTTTTTAAAATAAACATTGAGCATCTGTATACTTTTTAAAATAAACAATAAGCAATATCCTATGCCCAATGAATTGGATAACCAACGAAATTCAAGTCGGACATCAAATGTAGGTATATGTGTATTTATTAACATATATGTCTGTGTGTGAGCATAATGGCTGGCTGGGTGGCTGGCTGCTCGTTACAGAGTATGTATTTCTGCTTGAGTAGCTATCTATTTTCTGTTGCATTTACACTACTTCAATATCCACAGAGCCAACCAGTGATTTATACTGCAACAATGTTTAGTGGACGTTAGTTACAATTTCTGTGAAAGAGTGCACAATCTTGCATGATCAGTAAATGAACAAGGCTGGTGCCAACACAAACTATCGGTCACAATGACATATAGATAATATAGCATGCGTACATACGCCCACATATATGATATGCTATCCATAAGTTCAGGGAATTTTAAGGCACAAAATATTTTCCACAGAAATAGAAAAAAAAGTGATAGAATTTATTTTTTTTGAAATTTTTTCTTTGGTAGGAACCTTGGTTAATTTGATACATAAATAAATTGGTCAATCTGTTCAAGTCCCCACCACTTATGGTAGCATATTGTGTGTGTGTAATAAATATTCAAATTAGAGATTTAAATTATATTTGCTAAATGATTATCCACAGATTAATTATTTCTAATTATTTGTTTAAATTCTTGAATATTTATGAAATAAAAACTCATAGGTGAAAGTGAATGCAATTAACAGTCTTTTGTTAATGTTCACACTAAAACTTCATACATTAGAGGTACAAATTACATTTTTATTTCTTTTGCCTGATTCTATAAAATTGTCAGGGTCTGTTTTGTATTGAACAAAAGCAAAAAGAAATTTGTCCTTGAACATGTCACTGTACCAGTCTCAAATCTCTCTTGTGTATCACTTGTACTCAAGGTGTTATTTGTTTTTGTTCTTCTTTAGAAACAAGAGCATTGTGAAGCAGCTTGAATTGAAAATAGCAGGATTGGAAAATTACAAGAAACAACTACAAGTGTCAGAGACGGCCATTGGACAACAGAAGAAGCAGAGAAGTGATCACAAAAAACTTACGATATTTTGAATAAAGAGAATGAACGAGAAAACCAATCTTCACCTTTTATTTAATAAAATATGCACTGTTCATTTTACTCAGAATAATTTTTTGTAAACTAAAAAAAGCATATTTATTCAAATTTTGAATAATGTTCAAAATAAGAATTATTCCAATATGAGCCTTCAGAAATTTCATGGTGAGTGCATTCCTGCAATTTAGTGATATGAACACAAAGTAATATATTTTAATAGAACGGAAACAAAGAAAAATTATTATATTTGCAAATTTAGCCAATAAAAGTTTGATTTACTTATATTTTGATTGGCTTTAAAGTTTTCAAGACACACCACTTGTCATGGTCAGATAAATTTTATTAATTTATTGACTATTGTTGTTCAATTTCTCTATTTAACTCTTTCTTGAAAAATTTCTGCTCACTTTCAGATATGTTATAATTCTATGTATTTTAGTAGGCATTATTGTTTTGTATTATTATTTACAGTTTTAAATAGATTATCCATTTACAGATTTATAAACACTTGAAAAAAAAAGATCACTCATACATTTCTTTTTCAATCACTTGACACATGACAATATTCTTTATGAAAGATATTCCTCCTTTACATAAGTATAACTTTGTTTCTGAATGGTAATTTAATAAAATTACTAATAGATCTATGGATAGTAAGGTGACTTGTTACAATAGCAATAATGTGTTTTTGGAAAACACAAAAATGTTATCTGTACTGTAGGTAACTAGGTTTATTGTAGAAATTGTTTTTATTATTGTTACAAGAATGTTGAGGCTGGACCAGGATGACAAACAATTGTCAGCGTGGAATTCTGATGGATTGCCTTCATCTAAGTTTTAGGTATAAGACCAAAATGGAATGGTTAACAGAGGTCTGCAGAATTTTGAAGCATTGATATGTTTTCTGCACACAGACTCATACACCCTGTGAACAAATTTTGCCAAAATGATACCTGTTTCCTGCTCATTATATGTTTGTTGTCTTATGCACACACACACACACACACACACACACATAATGGTATTCTTTACTAAAGGACACGACATAGTGTAACTCATTCACAGAACTGAAGATCTATGTCAAATCTCATTCCACTGGTAGCAAAAGTTTTTAATTTCAGTTTGGATTTGGATAATTCACTGCTGTAGTTGGCTTAAGAAATTCAAAGGGAAAAGTAAAAATGAAGAGCCTGATTAATTTAATTTAAAAAGTTAATCCTCTTTATCTTGGTATATTTTTTTTTCTTAGGCCTTAAAATAAATTGTAATAAAATTGTAATAAATGCAGTGTAAAAATATAATTAAAGAAAAAGTCCTTGAAAGATAAAACATCATTAAAATTAACTTTCTTGGAGAGATTTTGTAACATTAGTAAGAAGAAAGACTAGAAAAATAGGATTAATAAATTAATTCTTTAAATCAAATACAATTCAAATGTTACATTTCAGTATAAGAAGTGTATGAAAAAATTCAACATAATTTTTTTTGTCTATATTTCTGATATGAGGTATTGTAATTATTTACACTATTTACATTGTTCGGACTGTTGTCCTCATATTTGTTGCCATATTCTGACAAAGAACAAGCCCCACTGGATAAAAGTGTTGCTTGAATCCAGTGACTTGACCCAAAGAGTTTTGAGTTCAATACATGGCTACAGCTGAGGTGAACAAATACTTAGTGAGTTGAGTTAAAGGGAGATAACTGATACTGAGACATCCAGAAGATGCATGGCACGTGGAACTAGAACAGTCTACTCTGGTGGATGAAATAAAGGGTCCAGTTTGAAATCCCAATCACCTAAAGAAGGCCGGAGCATACAATGGTCAAAACATCATGAATAAGGCAACAAAGATGATGACAAGAGTTTGAACAATGTAAATAGTGTAAGTAGTAATTTTTTCATTTGTTAGAAACAGAAATACAGATTATGCAAAAATAAAGTTGGTTGTTATTGAATTTGCTTTTATGAATAAAAAAAGCATAGAGAAGAATATTAAATTAACTTTAAGTGAAAAATGTTAACTTCCAAGTAACAAGCCCAAGTCTCCTAAACTATGTTTTTTTAGTGAATTTCACACAAAAAAAAATTGTTTTGCAATGAAAACATAAAATAATACAGCAAGTCCAAATTAAATAAATCTTATACTTACTTCAATTAAATAAGCGAAAGTTATTCCAAATATAAAAAACAAAAATTTCTGAAGGCAATTACAGCAGTAATCTACCTCAAACCCAAACCAAAAATAAAAATCTTCCTTCCCAGTGTATCAAAAAGATTTGAAATAGGCCTCCAGTTCTGGGTGAGAGTTGCACTATGACTTGACCTGTAGTAAAGGATGCCATGACACACACAC